CTCCTCCTCCTGTTTCGCAGCCTTTTGTGCCAAGTTGAGGACTTCGTGCTTTACCCTCTCTTTCATTCATGTTTATGGTAGTTAGTTTCTTCTTAAACCAAGTACTAGATCTGCTTGCTAGGGTTTTAGATTGCTAGGACTTGGATATCTGTTGACTGTGTGTTGATGATTGCTGGTGGAATACTAAACAATGAATCTGAATATGGATTTAATCAATGGAACCCTAAAAATAAAGATTGGTTGTGTTTGATCTGGATCTATCCTGCTTGAGATAGACTATGTTGTGGGATATAGAACTGCTAGGTCCCTGACCTTTCTGTTGTGATCTGTCGGTGTTGCTTACAGATCACAACAGAAAGGTCGGGGACCTAGCAGTTCTATATCATACAACCTAGCAGATCAAATACATCCAATCCGTATTTTTAGGGTTCCATTCATTAAATCCATATTCAGATTCATTGTTTAGTATTCCACCAGCAACCATCAATCATCAACACACAGTCAAGAGAGTTCCAAGTCCTAGTAATCTAAAACCCTAGCAATCTAAAATCCTGCAAGCAGATTTAGTACTTGGTTTAAATGGAAACTAACTACCATAAACATGCATGAAAGGTGAAGCACGGAGTCCTCACCTTGGCACAAAAGATTGCGAAACAGGAAGAGGAGAAGGCATGAGATGGAGAAGGCATCAGATGGAGAGTGAAGGAGAGATCCATCATCGCTGGATCCAAATTCAAAGGGAGGAGGAGAAGGAGGTGCATACATCTCAGAAAGAAGGAAGAAATTTCGACTGAAAAGAGAGAGAAGAGATCAGAGCAAGGATGAGAGAAAGAGAATGAGAGAGAAAAGAGATATTGATATAGGCACGGGCCTATAGATGGGGATGGATCCTTGTTGTTGGTTGTGTAACTCTCTTAACAAGAACAGGAATGGGTTTGATATGAAAAGAGGATGGAACTCGATCAGTTGGTTGTGTAACTCTCTCTGATTAAGTCAAGGAATAAAGCGAATGATGATGCACACGGTGGAACGAGGGTCGCCACAAAGCTCTATGGACTGAACTCTGATAAGACCAGCAAGAGATGGATCAAACACCAACTCTCAAGAGAAGGATCAAACACCAACTCTTAAACAAATCCAGAGAATTTAAAGACTAGACAAAAGCTTGAAGAACTGCGTTATTTTATTGATAGTAGGTAAAAGATACACGGCTGCTTATAAGGGACTTTATAAGAGAGTCCAATGCAGCTTTGCCCTTCTTGGGGACTTGAAGCAAATTACATAAAAAGGACACAACTTTCTGGGACTCTAAAGGAACAGACTCGTGCAATAACTAAAGAAATATTCTAAGACTTAAAACTATGAATGGAACCTGTAAAACAAACCAAAGACAGAAAAACCATATTAGGCAAGTAAATAAACATATTAATTCCCTTACCTTGGTGGGTTGGACGGCTAGGATGGTCTTAAGTTGGCGTGATGCTGATGCTGAACAAGGACACTTCTTTGTTGGGTCGGAGAAGTGGTAATTCAGCTGTTGGGCCGGCTTGTATGAGATAGGCTTCTCCTTTCTTAGGCTCTTCCAGGCTTCCTTCTTGGACCGTGGCCTTAAAGCTTGGGTGCAAAGAGTCTTCTTGCTCATGGATGCTAAGTAAGGCTTCAATAGCTTGATTAAACTCCTCTCTCAAGACTCTGGTTCCAGATCTTGTTCTTGGTCCTTGTCTCACGGCTGTATAGGGGGAGCTTGTGGTTCTATGCCCTCATCATCCCCTCCCTCTTGAGAAGGTTCTGACCTCAGAACAGATTCACCTGCATCATAAGGAGACAAGTTAGTAACATTGAAAGTAGGAGATATATTAAACTCACCTGGCAGCTCCAGCTTGTATGCATTGTCATTGATCTTCTCCAATACTCGGAATGGCCCATCTCCCCTTGGTGCAAGCTTGGATTTTCTTTGTTGTGGGAACCTTTCTTGCCTCATGTGCAACCATACCCACTCTCCTGGTTCAAAGGTAACCTCCTTGCGCCCTTTATCAATTCTTGCCTTGTCATTTTCGTTCTTTTTCTCCAGTTTCTCTTTAACCTTTTGGTGCAGCTTCTTCACAAAATCGGCCTTAGCTTCTCCTTCTGCGCTTGAATAGATGGCTGGTGGCAAAGTAATAAGGTCTAAAGGCGTGTGAGGGTTGAACCCATAGACAACTTCAAAAGGAGATTGGTTAGTAGTGGAGTGTTTGGAACAATTATAAGCAAATTCAATGAAAGGTAGACAAGATAACCAATTCCTGAGATTCTTACCAACCGTGGCTCTCAATAAGGTTGAGAGTGTACGGTTTACTACCTCTGTTTGTCCATCCGTTTGGGGATGACAAGTGGTGGAGAATAAAAGTTTGGTGCCAAGCTTTTTCAACAATGTCTTCCAAAAATGGCTGAAGAATTTTGTGTCTCGGTCTGAAACAATGGTCCTGGGCACTCCATGAAGACGCACGACCTCCTTAAAGAAGAGATCAGCTGTTTGAGTTGCATCATTGGTCTTGTTACATGATATAAAGTGCGCCATCTTTGAGAACCTGTCTACTATACAAAAATGGAGTCTTTGTTGTGTATCTTAGGCAAGCCTAGAACAAAGTCCATAGAAATGTCCACCCAGGGTGCATTAGGAATAGGTAAAGGCATATGTAAACCATTAGGGTGTAACCTGGACTTAGCTCGGAGGCAAATGATACATTTGGTGCATAGCTTCTCCACGTCTCTTCGCATGTGTGGCCAGTAAAAGTGCTCCATCAGCACGCTCAATGTCTTGTCTCGGCCAAAGTGTCCCATTAACCCGCCTCCATGAGCCTCTCTAGTGATCAGCTCCCTCATGGACCCTTGTGGGATGCATAGCCGCTTTTCCTTAAATAGAAATCCATCTTGTTGGTAAAATACTCCAAATGCAGCCCTTGTGGTTTCTTTGTAGACCTCTGAGAAGTCGGGATCAGATTCATATCCACCCTTGATGTGCTCAAAACCCATGATCTTGGCTTCCATTGTAGATATGAGAGTGTAACGCCTTGAAAGTTGTTGGAGGTGAAAACCGCACCCCGGTTTTCTCCGGTACAAACTGAGATCGGCGAACCGTAAGCCCGGTTTACGAAGGGATGTACCGAGAGAAGATGGGCCGAGCGAAGATGGGCCGAAGATAGCCCATTAGACCGAGGTCGGTGGAAAACCTCTCAAAGGAACAGAGGGTTTCCTCGAGCTCGGCCGGAACAGGAAAGTTTCCTGAAGGAAAAAGGAAACTTTGGAGAGAAAAGGAAACTCCTCTCGATCCCATATCGTCTAAGGCGTGCTTGAAGACCGACTTATGAGATATATATAAAGGGAGACGAATCGACATCAGAGAACACAAGTTATTCCCAAGAAGACTTAAAGACTGAGAACTCGATAGCTTCTTAGTCACATTAAGTCTTAGTTCGTTATTGCCTATTGAAATAACCGAACTCAGTTGTATTTCACCCGATTCAATCTAATAAAGCCGAGCTTCCGATCTAAAATTACTGTTTTATCCCTTGTCGATATTCACATATCAACAATTGGCGCGCCAGGAAGGGGGCCTTTAAACAGATATCTCAGATTTTTGATCGGACTTCGGAAAGATTGAATCAGCGATGGCAGACCAATCCGACGTTCACGAAGAAGAAAACCCTCTCAGGGAAAATAACATCGACGCCCAAACAGGACAAACGGGAGGAACTCCTGGAGAAAACACCGGAACTGCTGCCGAGCAAACTCCCGCAGCCGTAACCGACCTGTTACTCCAAATGTTCACTGCTCAGTTCGAAGCCATCAACAAAAGGAGCGAGGAACGTTTCAGTCAGATGGCGGCACAGATCGCCGAACTCAGTCAGACACGAACTCCTCTCCGAGTTCGGAACATCATTGACGATCTCAATGCCGACGGAGATCCAACCGGAACTATGAGGTCTGCCGCGGTCGGGTCAGCAAACCCACCAGCACCAGATTCAAGCCGAGACGCCGAGTTCGAAGCGATGAAAGCACAGCTTCGCGATATCACCTCAAAAATACATCAAGCCACAAGCGCGGCTCCGGAGATCGAGCGCGTCATTCAGGAAACACAGAAGACTCCTTTCACATCGCGTATCGCAGGGACGCCGGTCAAGCACATGGAGAAACTGAAGATGAAAATCTACGAGGGCAACTCTGACCCTCGACACTTCCTGACATCGTTCGGCATCTGCATGAACCGATACCAGTTCAAGTCTGCCGAAGAAAGAGACGCGGTTCAATGCCAACTATTTGTGGAAAGTCTGGGAGGAGTAGCTCTCGACTGGTTCTCACGGCTCGAAGCCAATTCAATCGACAGCTACAAAGAGTTAACGACAGCCTTCGTCAAGCACTTCTCCATGTTCATTGGACAGAATACCAAGAATTCCGAGCTCTGGCAGATAGCTCAAGGACCAAGCGAGAGCCTTCGCGACTTCATCCAGCGCTTCAAGGAAATCGTCGCCAACTGCACAATTAGCGACGAAGCCGCTCTCTTATGCCTTCAAAAAGGAGCTCGGATAAAGACCAGTTTCCGAAGCGCGATCACGCACAACCCACCGCAGACGTTAGAAGATGCATTACACCGAGCTAATACTTACATTGCTGAAGAAGAAGAAGAAGCTGCGTACGAGCAAAGTCACTCGACAAAACAACCCGAACGTCTGAAACCCGCGACTAACGAGCCGTAGTCGGGATACGGTCGAGGATACGAGAACCGCAAGAAACTCTATGCTAACGCAATCCAACAACCAAGCAAGCAGTGGAATAATAAATGAGTCCGCGGTGAAGAAGACCAAGACGAGTCGTTATTCTGCGAATTCCATAACCGTAGGGGCCACAGCACCGAAGAATGCAGGCATTTGCGAGAATATCTACTCGGCTTGTATCGCAAGGAGCCGATCTCGGTCGACGAACTCCGACGCTCAAATACGCCTAAGAGCGGTGGGCAGCTCTCGATGCCCCGACCGAACAACGAACACCTCGAGAAAGCACTTGCCAAAGATCCACCAACTCCACCGGCTTTACCAACACTACCACCACCGCCACCGAATCCGCCTGCGTTGCCCGAGCAACAGAAACGGAATCGCGATGATCGAGCTCCGGAGAATCGTGCTCCTAAGGCGCGAAAACGTATCAACATGATAATGGGGGCCATCGAAGCTTGCAGTTATTTCGTTCGAGCCATCAAAGAATACAGCAAACAAGCCACTAGCACACCAAAAACCCCACAGGATCCTCCGAAGGGAGCGCCCCTGGTCTTTACCGAGGCTGACACAATCGGAATTCACAAACCGCATAATGACGCTCTCGTTGTCGATCTGCTCCTCGACGACGTCGAAGTTAGCCGCATTCTGATCGATACTGGCAGTTCGGTCAACGTTATCTTCAAGGAAGCACTTGACCAGCTTGAGTTGGCGCCAGATAGGATTGATCCGTTCATCGAGCCACTCACCGGATTTGATGGAGAGCGTTGTATGACGATCGGCACTGTCAAAATCCCAATCTACGTCGGCGGAATCGCAAAGATGATCCAGTTCCTTATCCTCGACAAACCGGCGATCTACAACGCTATTCTCGGTACGCCATGGCTGCACGCAATGAAAGCGGTCGCTTCGACGTACCATCAATGCTTGAAGTTCCCGACCCCGGACGGTGTGTACACACTCCGTGGAGACCAAGCTGTTGCTCGATCGTGCTACATAAATGAGTGCAGACTCCACTCGGCCAACCAAGCTTGCGTCATTAATTCGTTCGGACCAACTGACAAGCTCATCGTCCAAAAGACAAAGCCTAAGCAGGAATCAATCGTTCAAGTTAGCATTGACGAACTCAGGCCAGAGCGTCAAGTTGGAATTGGTGCCGAGCTCGACCCAATCATCCGTGAACCACTCATTCGTTTCCTGAAACAGCATACCTCAACCTTCGCTTGGTCGGTAGAAGACATGCCCGGGATTGACCCGCAGATCGCGTGCCACGAGCTCAATATCGATCCGACATACAAGCCTATCAAACAGAAACGCCGAAAGCTCGGGCCAGAGAAAGCGCAAGCCGTGAATGACGAGGTCGAGCGCTTACTCAAAGCTGGATCTATCACCGAAGTTAAGTATCCAGATTGGTTGGCAAACCCTGTGGTCGTGAAAAAGAAGAACGGTAAATGGAGAATTTGCGTCGACTTCACCGACCTCAATAAAGCGTGTCCGAAAGATAGTTTTCCATTACCTCATATCGATCGCCTTGTGGAAGCGACTGCCGGAAACGAACTACTCTCATTCATGGATGCGTTCTCCGGATACAATCAGATTCTCATGCATCCGCAGGACCGAGAGAAGACATCCTTCATCACGGATCGTGGCATCTATTGCTACAAGGTCATGCCATTCGGCCTGAAGAATGCTGGAGCAACGTACCAACGACTGGTAAACCGGATGTTCGCGAGCCAGCTCGGACGAACTATGGAAGTCTACATCGACGATATGCTCGTGAAGTCACTCATCGCTTCCGAGCACGTCGGCCATCTTCGCACATGCTTTGATATCTTGAACCAATATGGTATGAAGCTTAACCCAACTAAGTGTACGTTCGGCGTAACATCTGGAGAATTCCTCGGATATATCGTCACACGGCGAGGCATCAAAGCTAATCCAAAGCAGATCGCTGCTATTCTCGAGCTCCCCTCGCCGACAACCAAACGCGAAGTTCAGCGACTTACCGGACGTATTGCAGCGCTTAACAGATTCATATCTAGATCAACGGACAAGTGCTTGCCCTTTTACCAACTTCTCCGCGGTAACAAGCACCTCGAATGGAACGAGAAGTGTGAAGAAGCCTTCGCCGAGCTAAAGGAATATCTGTCCACTCCGCCAGTCCTGACCAAACCAGAAACCGGCGAGACACTTTATCTTTACATTGCGATTTCGGAGTTCGCAGTTAGCAGCGTTCTTGTTCGAGAAGATCGCGGCGAACAAAAACCAATTTTCTACACAAGCAAGTCCCTCGACGGATCGGAGTATCGTTATCCGACTTTGGAAAAGTTCGCCTTCGCCGTGGTTATTTCTGCACGGAAACTGCGCCCGTACTTCCAGTCTCATGCAATCGTGGTCTTGACCGATCACCCTCTTCGCACTTTCCTTCACAGCCCAAGTCAGTCCGGACGACTCGCTAAATGGGCTATCGAACTTAGTGAATATGACATCGAATATCGGAACAGAACGGCAACGAAGTCTCAGGTCCTAGCAGACTTCTTGGTCGAACTCCCACCGGAGCTCGTCGACGATAATCCGGTCGTACAACCTTGGATTCTTCACGCCGATGGTTCATCATCCCTTTAAAGGATCCGGAGTTGGAATTCGTCTCAAGTCACCCGAAGGAGAAGTAATCGAGCAGTCATTTCGGCTCGGCTTCCCAGCATCCAACAACGAAGCCGAGTACGAAGCATTGATTGCCGGACTACGACTCGCTAAAAGTATCGGCGCCAAGCATGTACACGCCTATTGCGATTCTCAACTCGTAGCCAACCAGTTTCACGGCGAATACGAGGCCAAGAACAACCGCATGGACGCATATCTCAAAGTTCTTAAGGATATTGCTTCCGAGTTCTCCACCTTCGAGCTTACGAAGATACCTCGAGACGAGAATGCCTCCGCCGACGCCTTAGCCGCACTCGCGACTAATTCCGATCCTGATCTTCGGCGAACTATCCCGATTGCAGCAATCGAGCGACCAAGTATCGAGCACGATCCGAACTGCAATATCATTACAAGACGGCGTGACTACGAAGCCCAGCCAAACCGTGCTCCACCCCTCACCCGAAAGACGAAACCTAAAGAGGTCATCCCCGATCGCGAAAATGATACAGACGAGCTTAACGATAACGAGCCCGAATCCGAGGACGAGTCCGAAGGCCAGCACGTCCCCATCAATATCGAAGCCGGAGAAGAGGACGAACCCGAGGATTGGTCCCTGGAAATCGTGGGATACATAGGAGATGGAACGGTTCCCGCAGATAAATGGGCAGCTCGACGCCTTAAGGCTCGCGCAGCCCGGTATGTGGTCATTAAAGGTACTCTTCTCAGACGGGACGCTTCTGGTGTACTTTTGACTTGTGTTCACGGCAACGACATCGCGGAAGTAATGCAAAAGATTCACGAAGGAGAAAGAGGAAATCATTCCGGAGCTCGGTCCTTGGCATTTAAGATCAAGAAAGCCGGCTATTACTGGCCTACTATGCTCTCTGATTGCGAGAAGTACACGGCACGTTGCGAGAAGTGCCAACGTCATGGTCCGATGATAAATCTTCCTACCAAGCTCCTGATGACCTCGACTGCACCATATCCTTTCATGCGCTGGGCAATGGACATCATCGGTCCTTTCCGCCGATCTACAACCCAGAAGCAGTACGTCCTCGTCGTCACAGATTACTTCACTAAATGGGTCGAAGCCGAAGCATACCCCGAGATCCATGGAATCGACGTCAAGAAGTTCGTCTGGAAATTCATCATCTGTCGACATGGAGTTCCGTACGAGATCGTTACGGATAATGGAACCCAGTTCACTTCGATAATTTTCCAAGATTTTTGCGCCAAGTGGAAAATCCGACTAAGTTTCTCTACCCCGCGTTATCCGCAAGGCAACGGACAAGCCGAAGCCACGAACAAGACCATCATTGACGGACTGAAGAAACGACTCGATATCGCTAAGGGAACGTGGGCAGACGAACTCGACGGCGTCCTGTGGTCTCACCGAACCACACCGCGACGTTCAACCGGTCAGTCACCTTTCTTCCTTGCGTATGGCGCAGAAGCTATGTGTCCTGCCGAACTTAACGTCCCAAGCATTCGCCGAACTATGCTTACCCAGCAACCCGAGGCAAATGACAATATGATGATCGACGCACTTGACTTAGTCGAAGAACATCGCAAACGAGCACTACTCCGGATACAGAATTACCAACAACTTGCAGCTCGTTACTACAATAAAAAAGTTAAGGGCCGTCACTTCGAAGACGGCGACCTCGTACTTCGTAAAGTCTATCAAAACACCGAGGAGAAGAATGCAGGAAAACTTGGCGCGAACTGGGAAGGACCATATCAGATTATGAAGGTTGTTAAGCCCGGCGTTTACCAACTCATGAAGTTAGACGGAACTCCGATCCCGCGATCTTGGAACTCGATGCATCTCAAACGATACTACTATTAGTTCGCTTCGAAGACGAAATAAAAAAAAAAAAAAAAAAAAAAGCCTCCGAACTACTTAGTCGGAGCAAAAACCCCTTTTGTACTTAGAACTACGAATGGCTTGATCCCTTTAAAGGGTACGTAGGCAGCTCATTACCGAGTCCAGCTATAACATCAATAAAATTTTATTAAGTCAAGATATGACATGGGACCGAACTCCTTGTCTTTACATCGACTTCCTGGCCAGTTGTTCGATAGCATTCCACATGAATGCAAACTTAAAAGCCGAGATCCGTCTCGCAAGCACCCACATGGTGTCGTGGTTAACCCACATATCAAAAGCCGGGCCCAGTCCCGCAGTTAAATTTCTAAGTCACCAAGAACAATCAGCCGAGCACATCTCGCATACTTAGGTTCGACTTAGGAAAACCTTGAATTCGTTTCGTGCGTTTACAAGAGTTCGAATCCAATTCACTCTTCCAGTACAAAACGATTCACTTGGGTTCCCCAGGCCGAGCTCATACGCTCGCACAATAAGCCGAACTCCTCAGATTCGCACCGTAAGCCGAGTTCACAACACTCGCAAAAACGTAAGCCGAATTATCGCAATTCGCTATCAAAAGACAATAATCACGTTCGAATGTCTACTATATACCGATCTAATACTTAAGCATTAATCGCAAAGTTAAACCGAAGGTTAGATGCCGATCTACTACTTGGAAGGATTGTTTCTAACCTTTTTTAAAAAAAAAACAAGGAAAAATGAACGCATAAAATAAAAAGCCCCGAGAGGCAAATAGAGTCAGAACCCACCAAGGGCTCGGAATTAGAGTTACAAAAAACCCATGCAAGAGCAGTTAAGTTCGAAGAGCAAAAGAAAAATAGGAAGAGATTAGACGGTCTTTGAGGCAGCAGCGTTGAGTATGTCCTCGTTTGAGCCGAACTGCTCGCCCCTCGCAGGATCTTGTGCGCTCTGAGTCACATTTACGACCGGGATGTCATCTTCCTCTACGAACGGTGACATCTTCTTGTCCTCCTCAGTGAGCGCGCAAGCATCGATCGCCTTGAAGTCCTCCAGCGCCTTGGCATGCCTTGCTTCAATATCCACAACCATTTCTGGCGGGACCTCGTACAGACCCTTCCTCCGCAACTGCTTGATGAAACCGAGGACCCCGGTGAGCTGGTTGTAGACCAAGTACGGCTTCCGAGCCCTGTCAGCATCGTCCAAACTCCGAATGACCTTCTCAAGGCGTTCGCAAGCCGTTGCGTGAACGCTCCTAGCTCGATTCTTCCAGTGCACCACCATACCTTGTAGTCGCCCTTTGTCCTTCTCGAACTCTTTGGAGAGTAAATTCTGGGCCTCGGTGAGCTCGTCTTTCACCGCCTTCAGCTCTGCACTCTCCTTTTTCAGCAAGTCAACTTGAGAGTGCAGAGTTTCGTTGATTTGGAGCTCAGTGGCGAGACGCTCCTCTGCTTTGGCTATTCTTTCCTCGAGCTCGGAAACCCTTACTTGCTCGTCGAACAGGGCTACTTCATATGCAGCGACCAAGTTATTGGTCTGACTGGCGAGCTGCACAGAGGAAACAGGAATTAGAACTCATACTTGGAAGAATATCTAAGTCTATAAGCGGTAAGTAAAATTACCACAGCGGTCGAGTGAGCGATTCCCTTGTACATGTTGGGAAACCGGAGCTCGGGGACCGAGGGAAGGCTAGGTACCTCCGAGGAGATCTGATGATAGAGCTCGGTGCAGGCATCTACGTTCTCCTCAAAAGGAGTCTCCTCGTCGTAGTCAAAACAAACTCGGACTCTTTTAGCCGGTCCGTGCTCTTGAGAGCCCTCGACATGATCTCTGGTTTGCCTTTTTCGGGAGTGTGAAGCTTCAGCTCGATCTTGCGAGAGTGTGAGGCCCGACGCCACAGCTGCCGGTGGATCGAGCTCGACGGGAGTATCTTGCACCCGAGAAGAGTCCTCTGCTTTCTTACTCTTCTTCGAAGACTTTTTCTTCTTCGTCTTCCTCTGATCAGCCTGATCAGGTGAGCCCGCAGCAGGTGGCAACTCTTCTGGTTGCACTTCGTTCTGTTCAGCAGCAAGGACTGGGGTCGGCTCGGCCACCCCCGTTTCTTCTTCATCAAAGAGAGTTGGGATTTCATCAATGGAAAGCATCCTGGCAGCTCGGGAGCGTTGAGTTCGCGACTTCAGTGATTGGCGTCTGGGAGCGGTTCGAGGCTTGCTAGCTCGAGTTCTCGGCTTGCGTGGTTTCGGTTCTCGAACGGAGCCTGAAATGAAAATGAGTTTAAGGAGGAGTTCGGAGTAAATTCGGGCTAAAGTGAGTAAAGATAGAATTCGACGAACATACCCGCTTTCTTAGCTCGGCGTTGTAGGATTTCTTCCCAAACCTCCGGCCAACGACGTTTACCGGCTTCGCTGAATGCTTCTTCGAACTCAGAGGTGAGTCCGGAGTTGAAGACTCGGAAGATGATGACCTACGAAAATAAGACGAAGTAGAGTTAGCAAGCCGTAAAAGTCGAAAGTTATCTAAGTGTGAAATCATCTAATCTACCAATCGGAATCTTCCAATTCGACTGAATTGCGATGTCAGAATTGCTGACGGTGAGATCGTTCATTTCGATATAGAAGTACTGGGACTCCCAATCGTTGAATTTACTGGGCTTAGGTCCCATTACTAAATTCTTCTTCGGCTTGGCATTGGCGGCGAAGAACCACTCCTTGGACTTATGGATATTGACCGAAAAGAGATCTTCGAAAATTCGACCCGATGGTACTTCACCGAGCTCGTCGCATAAGGAAACGAACCCAACGTAGTTCGTTATTGAGGCTGGCATCACCTGTGTAAGAGCTACGCCGCGCCGATTGCAGTATCCCAGTAGGCGAGAGGGAATGGGGAAAGAAAGCCCGCACTGAGTGAAGTACGTCAGATAGACGCAAAGGAAGCCTTCGGGAGCATCCCACGGCCGATCTCTAGCCTCCGGAATGATGAAAATAATCTTGTCCGCAAGCCCGTTTGCCTCGAGCACGGCTCGAACGGCACCAGGAGAAAGGGAACAAGAGGGCACGTTGGTGGGACGAACTACTTTCCGCC